CACACACACACACACACACACACGAGAGAGGTGTTGGAGAGATGAATATGAAAGAGGCTTTCTGGCAAGATGTAAAGAAGCAGTGAGTGAAAGGTTAAAAGGCTGGGAGATAAAAAGGAGTAAAAATTACAATACATTAAAATTCTTTATGGAGAGAGAGCAAAATAAAAAGAGAAAAATGCAATAAACATTTGTGCATTCACAATTCCTTATCTGCATATGAAGCTAATACATGCTTGTATAACATTTACATAAAAAAAAAAAAAAAAAAAAATATGAAAAGGAAAATTAAAATGAACAAGTCAGAGAATATGATATGTGCAAATGTTGAAAGAATAATTGTCAACAACCCACAGAATTTTTATGCATCCAGCAAGTATAAAATAAATCTGTAGAACTGAAAAGGCTTTAAAAGGATTGGGGGTGGGGGAGATTTCATCAAATCTCTTAAACAGAATATTATAAATGTGACAATTGAAAAGAAAAAAAAAAAAAAAAAAAAAACTGACTTACTCTGGTGTGAAATTTGAAAGAAATTTACAGTTATTAAATGACATAAGAAATAACAGCACAGAATACAACATTTATAAAAGAAACTTGTACAAAATTTTCCTTTTCAAACAATTCAGCAAGATAAGTTCTAATTATAATTCTGTTTGGTTCATACAAACAATTATAATTATCAACAAAATGTTAATTTAGTTCAATTCATTTCACTGTCAAAAGGAGTTGAGAAGCACAGCAAATTCACAGGCAAAGCTGGGCTTGTTTAGACAAACCAAGATGAGATAAATCTTTTATTTTCAAGAAAAGTACAAAATCATGGTTAATGCCATTAATTTTGTGATAACCTTTCACAAACATCTATAGAAAGATAATCAGATATCTCTCTAAATTTTTAGAAACTTTTCTGCTTTATTTTCCTTCTGCTTCCCCCCATTCTTTTTCTTCTGTTGCTTCATTTTCATCATCATAGTAGTCATTGTCAGTGTCTTTGTGAATTTCTGCTTTCTTTTTTTTTTTTTTTATTTAAGTTCAGCTCCCAGCAGACTTTCAGCTGTGAAAGCCAAATTCCTTCTGCCAATGACTTTCACTTGTGAAAGCCTAATCCTTTCTACGTCAGACAAACCTGACTTCTTAAATAGCCACTAATCAGCTTCGAAAAGGACCAGTAATTTAATACCCTGAGTTTGTAACTTCATAAAAAGAAAATCACAAATGTATCTTTACACCATGTCTGTTTGCAAACTTGAGCAGATTTTGAAGTCATAAATAAAACTAGAGCCTTTTTACTTTCTTTTTTACAAATTTGAAAACCAAATTTTATACATGTATCATTTTCATAAATCATCAGGCTTCATTTTTGTGGTACTTTTACATCAACTTTTATTAAAGCAATTTTTTTTTTTTTTTTTTTTTTTTTACTAAGTTTGCCTTCATTATATTTTTTTTTTTTACTAAGTTTGCCTTCATTATAGCATATTTTTTTTAAAAAGAAAAAAATGTTAATAAATTTCTTCTTTTAATAAATGTTTTTTTTAAACACTCCCCTCAAAAGAAAGTGTAATACAGTGTAACCCGGATATAAGAGAGTTGTCGGGACCAGAGAAGAAGTCTCTTATATCCGGGTTTGGTCTACTTTACATACATTAACACAGGCTCTAATTTGGGACCAGAGAAAATCTCTTATATCCGGGTTACACTGTAAATTGAAACAAACAAACCTAGTCTATTATTTTTTTTTTATTTACTCTTTAATTATTTTTACAGTACTTTTTTTTATGATAAATCTGTATAGCTTGCGTTGAACTTGAGTGTCAAGGTCATGTAATATGATTTTGAACTCATTCTTCATATATGTAAGATTAAACCAAGAAAATGATTCTGTAGATGACCATCCCAGATATTTCTGAAATCCAACAAAAGTCCTTAAATCAAGCCAAAACTTTATGTTATAGCTATTCAGAGAACACAAGCAACACCATAATGTACAGAAATCTCTAAGAAGATCTTCATAAAAATTAAAAATGTACCAGATTTGAACAATCAACCAAGATTATATATTTATCTTATTCTTATTTAATTATAGTGCATATAGTCAATTGTAGTTTAATATCTAGATTAGTAGTTTAGAAATGAATTGAAGATTGTTTATTCAATTGTTTGTCTTTAAGATGAACTGAGGATTATTACTACTTGGAACTTAAAGGGATGCTAGTTTAAAAAAAATAAAAATAAAAACCTCTATATGAATTACAGAGAAATTTAAGAGAAAAATCAAATCAAGTATATTTTTAAGTAACATCTGAACAGTCATTACATGATCAACTGATATGGAAAAAAAAAAAAGATGTACCTGCTAACCTCCAGAAATCAGAGAGTGACCCCACCCCATCAGTTTATCATAAGTACGGACCTTATATATTTTTTCTTTTTAATGAGCTTGACGCTTTTAATAAGCTTAATCTCTAGTAGTCCAAGAACGCAAATGTGAGGCACCCAGTTAGGATCAAACTTAGCACACAATTTGATAAATTATAAATACCAGCTATGGAAGAAGATTTTTAAAAAATAGTAAAGCTCAAATCAAAATGTTTGTTATTTAAATGCGAATATTTTTTTTTTTTAATTTTCCCAAAACTGAAAATAATGTTAAAAAACCACTTGTAAAAAAAAAAAAAAAAAACTTTACCATGAAAGTACTTAAAAATAGCCGACTTCTTTAAAGTTAAAAATATTCCTTATTCTTCCTTCATTATTGTTATCTTTCGATTATAATTATTTTATGTTGCTGTTTAGTTTAGTTTATTTAATTATATGAAAATAGCAAAGTAAGTATCTTAAAAAAAAATAATTAAACTCTTTATTTATTGCTGAACTACTATTCAACACTCGTAGGAAAAATATTTTGTAAATAAAGAATGAAAAATGGGTTATTTTTCTTTCAATATTTGATTCATCTCTTTTGTTTATATTTTTAATTGTTTATTGTTTCTAAAAATCACATGAATTTCTGCAGCAAACTTCACATTTTTACTCCCTTGTGACAACTTGACTTTTTTTCTTTTTTTATTGTTGTCCTATATCCCCCGACTCTTTTTTTCAGGTAGCACAGGTCAAATTGGCAAATAAAGAAAAGAAACAATTTCAATTAATGCTTTTTTTTAAAGCATTAATTGAAATTAATAAAGTTATCCCACTTGCACAGAATAAAAAAAAAGAAAATTGTATGTCTGTAAAAAAAAAAAAAAAAAAAAAATTTTTATTTCCACTTGATTAATTCAAATTTCAAATCGGTGATTTATTGACACGGATGTCCTTAATTTATTTGATAAAAAGCAATTTTGAATTTAGGATTCATGATTGAAAAAAATTACATTTTTTTTTTTTTCTAAACAGGATTGATTCACCAATAAATGCTCTACTACTCTCTACTTACTGATAAAAAAATAATTCCGAAAGTACACGCAAAATATTTTATTATTTTTCATTGTCATAGTTTCAGATTTTTCAATAAAGATAAATTTTACTTTTAAAATAAACGTCTCAACCTTGTCTCTTCAAAACTTTGAAAAAAGGAAAGCCAAAAAAAGGTTATTCGAAAAGAAAGAGTATTTTTAATATACTAAAAAAGTATAAAATCAATGCAAGATAATAAAAAAAGTGATAAGGTAAGGAAGAATAAACTAATGAATTGACAGACATTGTCATTTAAATGGATAAAAAAAAAAAAAAAAGACTGAATAACACGCAAAATTCAACAAATTTAGAGATTAAAATGTACACACATAAAAGACTAAGATGAGAATTAAAAAAAAAAAAATGTCTTTTTTAATGATTTTCAAGATTAATAAAGTAAAGTGTTTCGATATATTGGCGCAACTCAATCTTTTTTTCTTTTTTACTTTATTTATTGCCTTGTCACGTGCAATCAGCTTAGTAAATAAATAGATTGAAAATGCACAGGTAGAAAATGATACAAAATGAAAACATGGCACTAAAGTAAGACCTAATTTTTGTATTTAAATTTACCTCATTTTCACTTACAGGTGGCAACAGGAGAAATGGTTATTTTATTGATCATTAGTAGCACATGTAGGTAGATAATAAATAAATAAATAAAAAGGAATACACCCTTTAAATACGATTACGATATTGAAGTACAATCTTGAAATAACGACATTAAATGTAGAAATAAAAATTTTTATTTTATCATTTTATTACAAAATGATAAATGAAATATTAAGTTTGTTAAAAAAAAAAAGACTTTTAGGAGGAGGGGAACCAAAATCTTTTGTAGTAAGAAAATAAATAGTAAATAAAAACCAAGATCATCAAGAAAAAATACTTTATTTAAGAAACTGATTGGCAGTTCCAATATAATGTTCTCTTTTTTTAAAGATTCCTTTAAAGTTTAGATTTTAAAGTTAAAATAGAAATAAGTAAAAAAAAAAAAAAAAACTGACATTTATCAATCTGACAGGTAACTGTTTGTTTCACCGAGTGAACAGTAACAGTAAACAAATAAAAATCTGTGATTCCATTTCAAGACTAATTTTTTGCTTAATATAAATGAAATATGTATCTAAAAATATAATCAGACAAAAAGGAAATTAAAGGGCGAATTTTTTTAAAAAGTGAAATCTAATTTTTCAAATATGAAAATGTTTTGAATGAAAAATAAACGTGGAAAAATTACCTACAGGTTTTTTTTATTTTTGTTTATTTTTTACCTTATGTTTATTTTTAACTTTTTTTTCTGTCATACGAGTCATTTTTTAAATAAATATGAAAGACCTTATTTGTTCAAAACGTAAGCCAAGACAAATAAGACATTTCATTTATTTTCTCGGAAAAAAGCTTGCTTAAAAATAAAATATGGTAGAAAAGAAAACAAGCATTTTTTTTACGCGCAACTAGAATACAAATTTCCGACCTTACCGAAAAATAAAATTTACTAACAAAAACTTATCATTTCATTAGTAAATAAAAGATCTCACCTTAGTTCTTAATAGGGTACTTTGCCAACACAAACAATGGATTTAGTTATCTTTCTTTTGGCACAGCAGTTGAATAAATTTTTTAAAAAGTTGTAATAATGTCAGCTGTCTTTAAAAGAGAAAGACTACTAACACAAGAAGCATTCTTTTTCAATAGTCGGTGGCCGAACTGAGAAAATGCTGTGTTGACAAAGATTCATGTGACAAAAAAAAAAAAAAAACACCACTAGCAAAGTGTCTCCGCCCCTTCCTTTTAAATATTTTTCATTTCCTCTTCCTTTCGCTTTTGTATTTAGCTTTGCTCTTTTCTTTACATACAAACATTTCTTAATCTTATTTTTGTTGTCTTCATCTGTTTAGGAGGTAATGAATTCCGGAAACTTCCGGAAATTCTCGAATAATGCCGAATTTTTTTTTTTTTAAATCACTTTTTTCATTTTTTTTAAATAATTTCTTTTTATTTCAGTATACACTTCTTTCACTACAGTTTTAACTTGTTTTCCATTGTTATCTCGCCATGTTATCTATTTGTGCGTTTTTTTTTTAAGTATCCATTGGCATTAATTATTATTTTATAAACAAAAAAATATTAATTTGGTACCTCCAATAATTCAGTATATACCTAAAGTTTAAAAAATGAATTTTCATAAATGATAATATTCATTATTACACATTTTCAAGCAAAAGAAAGAATTTAGTAATTGTTTTGTTGGAAGTGCTGATTTTCTCAGGAACAGTTAAAAAGAGACTAGTTGATTTATATGGGGTTCAGAAAGTAAAAAATAAAGTATTTGGTTGTTGAGGCTAAAACTCGTAGTGGCAGCGATTAGTACTAATTATTACAGGTGCTGTCCAGAATAAAGCAAACTGAACCGAATGTACAACACAATAATGAAGCAAGGCAAGTTAAAATGAAGACAAAGATTTGTTTATGAACACTAACACAACAATTTATTATTTGGGTATTTCATACATCGTTTTCGTATGGTGTTGTAGTATAAATAATTAAGAAGACCCTTGAAAAAAAAAGGTTAAGTTCACACACATCTAAAATTTAGGTGCGTTTACTTTAATAAAAAAAAAAGCTTTGAAAGGGGAACACAGGTGTGTTTTAAATAAATCTCTGAAAATTGAAATGTACAAAGACAATACATTGAGGTGTGTGTAATATAATTAAAACTATGAAAATGGAAAAGTTCCAAGACAAAACACACATTAAGGTGTGCTTAATACCACTTTCTTATCAATGTTGAATTTTGTACAAATCTGTGCAAAAAGTGGATCACAGAGCTTACCCAGCTTCATACATATTTTCAGAAAACCTCAATTTCTGATTGGTCACTTAATATTTAAATCATGTCCAAATAACATTAACCGAGTTCTTGACCTGACAAAAAATAATTCTGCCAAAATCTGTCAATGCTTTCTCGATCATGTCACGTGATTACGTTGATTATAAATACCAGACACAAGTTCATTCCCTCTCTCTTCCTTGATTTCTCTCATTACAAAATGTAGTTGTAAAAAAGGATTTGTGTCTTGGCCATGTGTGTTAGACACTATAAAAATGTATTCACACACGCACACATACACATACGTACAAAATTTTCCAAACTACATGAGAAACATACAAAACTTTTCAAATTTCATCTCAAACTACAAATATTCAACTACAAGCAATGGAAACTTAATTACAAACATTACAGAACATTCAACTCTTCTAAAGCTAAAAGTTTATTCAGAATTTTCTCAGCTTTATAATTCTTTCAACTCTCTAACAGTAAACATCTTGAGCAACCAGTTCAACTTTTGTGAGCTCGGATGAAATATTTCCTTAGTAAAAACTTTAATTCAGTCAAAGGGACATAACACCAACAAAAATAGTAACCCCCTATGCTTGTAAATCATTATACAAAAATAAATATTGTTGTTGTAATAAAACCATTTTGTGTTCCTTCTTGTTGTTTCTCTTGTTGCTTTTGCATTTGCTTACACATTTGTAAAGTAAAAAATGTATGGGTTGATTTAGGCCATCAATACCGCTACAGATTCATTGTTGAATCTACATCAGAGAAGCATGAAGTGGATCAGTAAATTGGTTGAGTTCACAATGTGAAATCCATTTGCCAACTTCCTTGTTTGCTTTATGGTGCATATTTATAGCTTCCCTTAAGCAGGTGCTGGCACACAAAAATGTCCCTCGAAAATTAGAGGGAAATGCTGTCAGTAGTCGATTAATAATTTGTATTATATCTTGAATGTTTTCAACACTACCGACAGTGCCACTCAGAGCCTATGATTTTGGTCATTCAACTCCTGACTCTTGAGATATATCTCATGCATCCTCACTTTAAATTATAAAAGATGAACCATTATACACTTCTCGTTTAATTCTAAGACTAATTTTCCATTACTTTAACAACAAAATTACCTCGTTGAATTTTGCATTTTCAAATGAAGGCTTATGAAAGCCCCAGTTTTTAATTTCTTCCTATATAACCTTTGCATATACAAATACAGATGTGAAGAGACAAATGCTAATCCCTTAAACATTCATACCATATCCTGAATGAATTTACCAATAGAAAACAGTATTTCTTGTTTTCCCACCTGAGGATGTGGACAGCTATGCTGATGATATAGGTATTCGTAGTTAGGATAAGTATCTTAAACAAAAACTCAGCATCCTCTACCAAGTGTTCCAAGAAATAGGACTCAAGATAAACCTTTCCAAACACAAAATATGAACTGAGATTGGAATGAAAGTAATGATGCTACCTAACCTTAATCCATCATAAATTCAAGATGTAAAATTAGTAAATACTAAACATTACAAATACCTTGGTGTATGGATCAGTTATAACAAATTTAGAATAAGGAAATTGAACATAGAATAGGTTGTACTAGTGATAGTTTTGCCCAATGCTGCAAGTTCCTACAAAACCAAAACATTAACCAAAAACCTTGAGTTATGTTCTTAAATAAATTCATCAGACCGAGGCTTTCATACAAATGTTGTGTATGGCATTAAACTTGTTCAGAAATATCTAAACTATTACTTGTATACAATAGCTTTCTCAGATCAATGGTTAAAAATGACTTTAAGCAAACCTTGTGAATTTTTGCTACAGAATGACTAACATAGAATTGGATCAAATAACAAACCACATCACTTGAAAACTTTCAAAAACAGCAACAACTAAAATGGAAAATATATGTAACTCAAAAAGAAAATAATATACACCATCTTCACTTGTAATTGTGTCTCTTTCCATCCCATCAACAAACATTAAGTTTGCAGAAAACACTGTAACAAAGTGTGACACTGGTAAATAAAAATAAAAAAAACTTGAAATATGAGCTTGGAACAGAACAAAAAAGGGTTAAATTAAAATATAACTTGGAACATGATGAAAATGGGTAAACAATGGAACAATAGATGAACTAAGAGAAGTGAAATTGCTTTTATTTTTGAAAGTCTATTTTTTTTAAGCAGAGATGGCTTGAAGAAAGTAACTTTGTTGTTTTAGGGAAAGATATTACCATGGAGGCCATCTGGAAAAGGCTGGACTGACAATTGATTAATGACACTGCCTTAAAGTGGAAGTGATGAAAACATCTCTTACGAACCAGCTGGAAAAGAAAGTTGATTTAGGAGATAAAATTTGGTAATATTAAAGTGAAGGCAAATGGAGAGAAACTGATTGATGATTGCTTTCAAAAATCAGAAGACTGTAAAAACAATTCCAGAGAAAGGATTTTATACTTTGTCTAAGAGAAATTAAGATATGAGGATTATGGTAAAATGGAAGCAGCTGATTAATTTCTGATTATAAAGAGAAGACGCCAAACTAGGAAAAATGTGCTGACGACAATTAAAGTAATAAATACGATTAATGACCAAAAGAAGTTCGTCCACAGAATTTGGAAATCAAATTTGTCAAGATGACAACTGAGGGGAGAGAAATACCAAGGTAGATGGAGGAATTGCCTCTGCCCATTGGCAGGTAATGGAATGAGGCACAAATAAGAGAAAGAAGTTATCGGGGCAGGTCGGTACCTGCAGCCACTACCCATGAAAAAGGGGTCTCCTAAATTTGGGAGGATCATTTTCCAAAACCAGACAAGAAAGAACTCTTGTTGAAAGAGAGGGGAAACCCAGAGTCCACAAACACATTAGCCCTCATACCAGTCTTGGTCAGAGGTCAATATAAGCAGAGTCCTGAAGCAACCAAGACAGTGCAGTTGAAGCCAGTTAGATGATGAGATGACAAGAGACATCCACACTGTCAAAGCCCACGTGAGTTGCTGCCAAAGAGAACTCTTGACTTCAGCCTTGTCTAGACTTAGCTAAAATAAGCAAAGTGTCATGACAGAATTCAAAGTAGGAAGGGTTAATATTTCCATACAAAGAACAGTATAAACCACATAGAAAATTAACCCAAAGAATTTCCTGTTTCCTTTTATTTGTCTGCAAAGAACATTGTTTATATTTTTCCTCATGACATAGCTTCACCATGGTTCAAACCAATGCTACAATTGCTGATAACAATTCAGTCTTTGCTGGCTCCAAGATCAAAAAGCACAATGTGGTGGAGCAGAGCACAGATTTGGGATTGCTACTTCAATGACCAGCGGCAGTATTGACCAGTGTAGGAATCGATCAAGAACCAATCAGCAGGAAGTGTCATAAGACTACTGTAGTTGAACTCATTTCAGGGGCAGAGGGGATGATTAGGCAGACTATAGGGGTGAAAGAAAAAGATTGGCTGTATGGAACTCGAAGATTAACATTGCTTTAAATATCTTAAAGACAAAGGAGCTGGTTGTGAACCTTTGGAGAAATGTCACAGTATTTGTCCTTTTGGTTATCAGAGGGATGTGTGAAGAGTGTGGATAAAAATATGGATACATGCATTCGATCTCTCTTGAACTAGCAATACAATTGCAATAGTCAAAAATGTTGGTATATTGGCCTGCAAACAGATATTGAACGACAGAAAACTTGAGGAAAAAAATATATATTGCCAAGTTTATTTTCATTAAAGAAAATACATCAACAAAAATAAGGTTACAGCCCACAAGGCAAAAAATATCTCTGCATGTTTATGTAGAGGATAAGGAGGGTGTTAAAGAGTATTGTC